AGGCTGCTGCTGCGCCCCGGCCCATCGCTGTGAGGGTGAGCGCCCAGCGCTGCTTCTGCCCTGGGTACAACGCAGGGACGGAATTAAACACATTCTTGCTTGTCTGTGGCACGTTTGTATTAGCCCAGCCCTGGTTTCCCTCACCTCCAGAGGAAGTGTGACTCGTTCCTCCTTTGCTTCGGTCCCTGAGCCAGAGCCCCACGGCTCGGCCGCCCCACGCCCCCCCGGCTGGCACAGCTCTCCTCGCCCAGCACGCCAAACCCACAGCCCCAGCGCCGCCGGGGCCTCCGCCAGGGGTAAGCTTTTGCTAAAGAAGCAGAAATAAGCTATCTTAAGGTGTTGAATGTTCAAAATTAAGTAAATCTGGCATTTTGGCGGGAGCGGCAGCCTGCCCCGCCACGGGCAGCTCCCGCCACCACCACCAGTCACTGGGGTGCAGTGACCAGCCTTCAGCCAGCGTCGTGCCTGAGCACAGGCAGCGTCCCCCAGCAGGGTGGTGTGTCCACACAGCATTCACCAAAGCCCGTGACTGCTCCAGGGTGCAGCGTGTTTATACAATAATAGCTTATATAGATATAAAATAGCCAATCAACCAACCAGGAGGATTATACTGCATGGACATTTTGTGGCCATTTCTGCAAAACAGAAGTTAGATTTTTTTTTTTTCCCCATCGCTGCCTTGAGGAGGCAATGGGTGACTCTCTCCAGCTCCTAAAATCAGAATGATTCAGGATGTCAGAGAGTAAGTGCCAGGCTTGGGAAGTCAGAAGACCCACAGCACCGCAGTGACTAGAACCCGACGGAGGAAAGGGGCTCGCGCCGGAGGGGGGAGACGGGCCGAGCGTCTCCAGGCTGACAGTGCTCACCCCCAGCAGCACCCCGCTGCTCCAAGCCGCTGGGTGCAAACAAGCAGCACAAAGGGCAGATGGAGCCCAGCTGGATCCACTCCCACCCGTGTCTCTCCCGCCCGCAGGTCTGATTTTAGGAGGGCAGCACCCGAGCCAGCCCGCAGCGCGGTGCCGGGACGGGGGTGTGAGGCGCCCCCGTACCGCCCAGCTCGGACAGTCGCTCCCCTCAGCTCTGCCACCTGCTCTCCGGAACTGGACTGATTATATGCAGGGCCTGAAAGTGAGAAAAGATGTGAAATTGCTTCAATTAATTCTTTTTCCTAGGAGGAATCTTCATTAATAATGTATGTTCCAAGAAGTCCACCACACAGATTTCTTCAGCTCTCCCAAAGCTATAAAGCTTTTTCAACCTCCACCTCCCAAGAGGAGGAGGAGGAGGAAGGGGCCTTCACAGCTCTTGGCTGCTGCACAGAAGCTTCACCCTGGAGCCTTCCTCCTCCTCCTCCTGCTCACAGACCACCAGCCCAGCCCTGGGGCCAGGCAGGAGGGCAGCAGGTGACCCCAAGCCCTCCGGACTGCCAGGGCTCCCCGCCACAGCTGTGGGTGTACAACACGCTCCTTCCTTCCACAAAATATGAAATTGTTGGATTTCTAGAAAGCAACATACACAAATATATATATATATATTTCATACACTTAGAAATGTGTTTTTTTATAAAATACCAATGGCATCTGAGTGCAGTGAGGGCTTGGTGAACAAACCCAGTAGAGAAGTTAAGTGCAAGGTCATGATACACATCAGTGAAGTCTGAATACCATGATTTTTCTTAAATGTGAAAAATAAATGGGGTTCAGCTGCTAAGAATGCCTTTTTTCCCTTTCTTCCCCTTTATTGTGATAGACTTGAAGGTGAGCAAATATTAACCCTATTAATATCTGGGATATAATAAGGTATTCCAGCTTTTCTCTAAAGGCAAGGCCAATAAATCAGATATTTAACCATTACAGAAGCTGCTTTAAAATTTCCCACGTGGCTGATAAATAATACCAGCTTCTCATTTACCAGCTTTTAAATACCTTGTTCCTTCAGTTACCTGCTGTTGCACTCAAGGATAAAGAGGGGCTGGAGAAATGGAGCGTTTCTCCTTCCACGCTGCAGTAAAGCTTCAAAGAACGGGTGATAGAGCAAAGCAGCCACAACAAAGCCACAACAAAGCCACACTCCGGCGGGCGAGCTGGTGCGGCGGGGCTGAGCCGGGGCTCTTGGCAAGAGCAGTCCCAGGGCAGATGCGCGCTCCTCACGGGCCACTCCTAACGAACAGGTAATTAATAGCTAGCTTCCTCAGCACCTCCTAGCCCCAGCCAGTGGATCTGCATAAACCAAACCCAGCAGCTGAGGCTGGAAGAGGTAAAGCGTGGTTTGTTGGGGTTTTTGTCCTTGCTGTTCCAGCTTTGCTGGGGGGGGGGCAGGCAGGGTGCTGCCGGCAGAGCCCGGCCCTGGCGGGGGGCCCCACACTGCTCCCCCCCGGTGCCTCTGCCAGTGCGGCCCAGCAAGGTGCAAACACTTCAAAGACATTTCAAAAAATCTCCTGGAGCTGTTATAGTTAAAATATTCCTAACGTCATTTCAGTGGGCTTCGATTTTTGTTCCAGTTTAACATTTATATGCATATTGTGCAGATTCATTTAGTTTCTGAGCACAGTTTTCTAAACCTTGATTATTTTGAGGCCAAAGACTTTGCACAGCTCCGTCACGCGAGCTGGCACCTGTAACTGCATCCTGCTCCGGTAGCTCATCCCTCGGGAATACCTGGGTGACGGGCCGGCCGGTGCCAGCACAGCCCAGGGCGCTGGGGCTCGGGTCACGCCGGGCCGCCCCGCGCTCCCTCCCGCTGACACGGATCGAGTTGTGCCATCCTCTGTGGGGCCCGCTCGGCCCCCGGCTCCTGCGCAACTGCCCGGGAAAAAACCCAACTGAGCAAACCGGCTCCACGGGTCGGCCTCTCGGGAGCGCTCCTGGAACAGCTTCTGCGACGCCGTGAACGGAAACATCGACTGTGCTGAGCAGCACCAGCACGACGGGCCTCGAACTGAACTTGCCAGCAGGGAACAACTGTTCTAAAAATATGAGAAAACCAAAACTACTTGCCAAGTTTTGTTTTCTTGGGGGTGTTTTTGTTATTGCTGTTTCTTAAACCAGTATAGTACTTCAGCAAAAAGTTAAGGACTCTTAATTGGAGAGGATCTTTTATTTTCTCCTGCACCCACCTGTAAGTGCGAATTAATTTCATCCTCTCGGCACACGCCTGCTGCTGCATCGTGTTTTAGGCAGGTGCCGGGGAAGTGGAGAGTCCCAGGCTTGGGCGTCCTCAGAGGGTTTGACCCGTGACAGGAGCGGGTGAGAGATGGAGGAGCCGGCGGCGAGAGGCCGAGGATGCGCCCGGGGCCGCGCCGGCAGGGCAAGACCCGGCCGGGCACCACGGGGAGGCTGGGCAGAGCTCCGGCACTGCTGGCTAGGCCACACCATAACAGGGGCAAGGCTGAGCTTTGGTTTTTACTAGTAAACACCAGATTTGGTTTCAGTCTCCGGTGGGAGGCAGAACACCCCTGGGGCGGGTTTTACCGTTCTCTGCTCTGGATAAATGAGCTGCTCACTGCGGCATCAGCCGCTCCTGCCGGAGACACCGACGTTGCAGTTTTCTCTGTCTCACTTCGTGCCTCACCAAGCACTTTAACTCAAAAAGTCTATTTTAGGAACCTAATCAAAAGCATATACAGTCCAGTCAATCATGGATCTATATTTAGGTGCTGGTGGTTAAAAGACATTCGCTTCTTGTTCCAGGCAGAGTCCTATAAAAACATGCAGGGTTGGTAATACTGTTGGCATTTTTGCTTAGAATGTGTTTTTCTAATACTTTAAAGGTATAAAACTCCTCTAAAGGTAAGAAAGATCATCACTAGAGGCATCTTCCAGCTCTGTTCCTCTCACTGCCAATGCCTTCACTGCTTTACCTCCTTGACAGGTCAGATTCTACACGGATTTAATCACTTGCCCTTAGGCACGGTTTCAGCCCTCCCCGGGCTTGCTCCTTGGCCAGCGACCATCGGGCCTCCCCTGCCAAGCCCTTCCCAACACCTTCCAGGGAAGAACTGGAGGGAGGCCGGGACCCACGCCCTAAGCCCCCACGGGCCTTGCCAGGAGCCGCACGCACACACGGGGGGACCCACAGCCCTGCTCGGGGGGCAGAGGCAGGGGAGCAGTGCCCCCCGAGACCCCCTGCTGCTCTCACGCCATTGGGTGCTCCCCACGTCCCTGCCACAGCCACGACAGAGGAACGCCGCGTTGGTGGCAGCAGGGACAAGGAGGGTGCCCCAGGTCGGTCCCACTGGCATCTGACAGCGGCACAACCCGGCGGGACGCCGGCTTGCGCACCCCAGCCTGGAGCATCTCCCGCCCTGACACAACCAGAGCAGCTCTCCTCTCCAGACGTGCTCTCGAGTCTTTTCTGCCATTTACATGGAGGGAAGAATAAGGCAGCCTCTAGGACTCGGGGTCACCGACAGCTACTAACGGCCACCCCAGCTCATGCCCAGCACTTGCAGCCTTGGAAACATTCTCGTGGGTGTGACCCCAATACTCTCTAGAAAGTCAGACCAAAGGCGTTACTGAGACAAAACCCCAAACCCCTACTTCCTCAGGAATGCTAAGCTGCTGTTAATTCGTTCCAAACGAGGGAGAAATAAAGCCCTGTTTGAGGTGTCTGCTGGCAGCAGACGGGAGCCCAGTGCCAGGGGCGAGCGCGGGACCCGCCGGCAGCGCCACGGATAGAAATAACTTCCCAGAGACACCCGGAGCTCGCGCGAGCCCCGAGGGCGTGGGGACAGGCAAGCCCATTGTGCTGTGACACAAGGTGGTTTTTAAGCCCAGGGTAGGTGCAGCGTGCGGGGCGCTGGCAGCGGGCGCTCGAGGACGGGCTCAGCAGCAGCAGAGGAAGGAACGCGCCTGCGGCAACACTCGAGTCCCCAGGCTCAGCTTCCCGCTGGTCTCCAGCCCAGGCACGAGCTTCAGCATCTGTAACCAGTAAAAGGCACCTCCCCAGCCACTTCTGTTCCTCTCGACCACCCCAGACGAGCAGCATTACCGACTACTCACATCAACAGTAACAGCAGAAATAAAGCAACATCTCCCTGGGCTGGGGCCCTGCCGTCCGCAATAGCTGCTGTGTGCTAAAGGCACCTTGTTACTCCTCTCCGATAGACGGGATACCTGAGTGACAAGAAGTACATGGCACTGGAATCAAAGACAAGTTTAATTTTTATATTCAACATTGTAAAGATGAAGAAAAAGAGAGCAACCATTCCACATACATTCCACCTAAACAGGCTGCACACACTCGGAAAAAAACCACAGTTCTTCAAGATTGTGTCATTTCTGCAAAACTAAAAAGCAGGACGCTAGAAATACATGTTTGTGGTGTGTTGTGGTCAGTTCAAAACCAAGAGCCAGCCAGTGTGTGCATTCATTCAACATTTTTAGAGTGTACATTTAATACACCTAATATTTATATAGAGGGTATTTGTTCAAGACTGACAGCTGAATCGTGTTTCTTTTTCAGGCCTATAAAGCTACTAAGCTAAATCTGTTTTTAAAAATTCGTATGTATAAAACGCAGAAGAATTTTAAGGATAATTAGAACACGTAATACATCCTTATTTGATAAGTAGCATAAGCCATGCAGCAGTGCTGTTGTAAGGCTAGGACCTTCAGTCTCCCTTTCCCTGATGAATATCCAGCGCTGTTTTGTTACACTATTTCCTTCTAGTACAGGGATTAAAGGAAGTGATTACCAGGACAGATGCTTTCTAGGAAAAAAAACCCAAACCAGAACAAAACCAAACCCCCAAACCCCAAACACTTGCACCGTTGCAGTCATCCCCCTCTGTTTCGGTGCCTCCCTTGAGCTGTGCTGCAGAGGGACGACAGCACAAACCCGGCAGCTGTGTGCGACGGGCAGAGGTTTCACAGCACCAGGTCCCTCCACCTCTGCTCGCCGCATCACCCGACGGCCCTGAGCACCTCCCGTGTGCCAGCGGCAGCCCAGCCCGTCTGCACAAGGCTGGGACATGGGGACATGGTACAGGAAGACAAGAGGCGGCCGACAGGCCGTTGAGGCGCAGGCACCGTGCCAAGCTGCCGCTGGACAAGCCCAGGCAGCGTGGGGCAGGGTCGGGCACACCAACCCTTCTGGTCTGGGCCAGGAGAGAAATCCCAGGGCAGTCCCGGCCCTTCGTGGGGCTCCCAGCTCAGCCAACAGCACTGAAAGGACAGGCGGGGTTACAATCAGACTGGCTTTCCTGCCAGGGAAGATGAGAGGCTGCAACGCAGACGCCTCCGGGGGACACAACGCGGAGGGGATCACGCCCCAAACCTCACACAGCTCCTGCTCTCCTCCCTCCTCAGTCACACGCCAGCCGGGCAGACGAGGCGACGCTCCCAGCTCACAGGTTCTCGTTTAACCACTCGATGTAGCTGCTGAGCAGCCGCTGCCCTACAGCTAACTTGGCTGGACCCAAGACAAACGTCATGGCCCCGTGAAAGGCGTCGGCAGCGTGCTGGTGCGTGACGGGGACACCCAGGGCCCGCAGGCGCCCCACGTACATGGCGCCGTCGTCCCACAGGACGTCGTGCTGGCAGGTGAGGACGTAGGTGGGGGGCAGCCCCCGCAGCCGCTCATCGCTCCCCAGCAGCGGGGCCGCCCGCGGGTCCAGAAACCCCGGGTACTTGTGCGCGAGCTCGGGGCTCCCGAAGGTGGGACTGGTGTAAGCGTGGCCCTTCTTCAGCTCCGCAGGCAGCAAAGCGCTCCAGTTTACAAACTGGAAGAGGTGGCTGTATTCAACCGGGACGTGCCTGTTGAGGGCCATGGCTTCCCGGAGAGACGAATCAGAAGTGAAATATTCACTCCAGAACCTGACCATAAGTGACTTGGATAAAATGGGCTTGTTTGCATTTTCTTGGTAAGATGGCAAATTCAGGTCAAGGGGTTGAAGAGCAGGGTAAATCAAAGCTTGGGCTCTGAGTTTAGTTTTGACTTCAGCGTCCGCTAACAGCTGTAGGAAAAAATAGAAATAATTACAAAAGGTCAGTTAAAAAGTGTTGGTTCTCCCACACTGACAGAAGATCTTAAAAGTAAGGAATTAACAGACACATTTCACAGCATAAGCAAAACAAGATAATCAGTAAACCCAGGGTAGATTAATTCAGGCAGGTCACGAACGATATGCTAATTAGGCAGGTCATGAAACGATACGTTGGAATAAAATTCCCAAACATCAAATATAGTTTCATTTTCTTATGTTGAAGGATAATATTTGGGAATATTCTTTTTGAAGCATTGATGCTTTCTGAAGTAGTAACAAATGCTTTTTCTAGAACTACAGAAAACTTCTATTTTTATAGCTTAAAGAGTGCAGGTTTCACACAATTTAGAGCTTATCCATCTGTTTGTTTTAACCCAGAGGTGATAGAACTGAAACAACTACAATTCAGTGCATTTCTGACATGTGAAAAATAAAAGGTCATGAATTGAACACTGATATTTCTTACACGTCAACCTTTTTCCCGCTTCACTAATTTCCACTTTCTCCCTCATCTTCTGCCTTCAGTGTCCACAGCAAGTTGACAACTTTTCCAAGTGAGATTCTTTACAATCCAAGTAACTTCAAGAAAGCATTGATTTTATTTAATAAACCTGAGCGAGAAGTGCAAAAGACACTAAAGCTGCGTGTGATCAAATGACACTGGAACATTTGGTCCTTTTTTTGCAGCTAGTTACATCTGTACAAGTCAAATTGCTAAAATTCCCTTTTCAAACAACATCCAGTCAAAACGTACTCGAGGATAGAGCAGTAGACACCCTAATTACAGGTCCGATGGGCCTTTTCTTAGGGTGCAGAGGTTTTGAGGACATCACAGCATCAAGGCTACTTTGAAGCCATGAACTGGCCCAGGCCTGTGTGCTGGCGCAGAGGCTGGGGGCCCTCCCCAACAGCCCTGCAGGCCGCGTGACGGCCCGTGTCCACGGACCACGAGACACATTTGGGGCGTGTGCTTGCTTTGAGCAGAGGTTTTTGTTAGTCTTCTGCAAGTGTTCATGAAGTGACAAACAAACAAAATCTGAGCTAGCAAACCAGCTCTTTTTTTTTTTACCTGTTGTGCCACGGCTGCAGCCAAGTTGCCACCTGCACTGTCTCCTGCCACGCAGACCCGATCCGGGTCCACCCCGTACTGGGAGAGGACACTGCTCTGGAGGAAGAACTTCGTTACCGAATACACATCCTCAAACTGGGTGGGAAAATGGTATTTAGGTGCCAACCTGTAGCTGTTAGAGGCAAGCAGAAGTGTGTTACTCCCTTCTACTAATGAAGAGAAAGGCTTGCTAACATCTGCCCCAGCTGGTGAATGTTTATCATCTTCTGTGCCCAGAGAAGTGGGAACTATCTGCCTGTCCTGGAGGATCAAATATGGTATTACCCACCCAAGTTCATAAAGCAATATCCAAAAGAACCACCAACCACAATTCACCACTGCAGCCCTGACAGCTTTTGTTTGCAAACGCTTAGAGCTGGCAGTAAAGCATGTGATCAAAAAACCCCGCAAAATAAGATTAACTAAAATAGATTAATTAATTCCAAACCCTTATCCCATACAGAAGGAGAATCTCTCTTACTTGACCGATACCACGACAGCATTTAACAAGTTTGAAGTCCACCTTGACAGCTGGTCGTAGGATTTCATGCCTGAAGTGAGAGGAGTCACTCAGAACATACTCGAGCACGTCTGAGAACAGACACACATACAACAGCGTGTTCCTCTCTGCAGAAGCTTTCAGGTGACTTTCCAAAACCTCCACCTGGTTTTACCGGGTGAAATACCCGTTCCCTGACCCTCGGGGGCAACTCCCATCAAACAAAAGGCAGCGCTTAACACGGGCCACGGAGATCCTGCACAGAGACCCTGGTACGGAGGGAGCAGAGCGTACCTGCCTGTCCCAGGCACCACCCTCCGCCATGGAAGAAGAGCACGGCCCTCCTGGGGCCATCGGACACCCTCCGGGGCAGGTACAGGCGGACGGCAACGTTGCTGAACTCCGTGTCCATCACGGTGACGTTTTCATCAGACGTGGGTGCGACGTACTCGGCGGCCGTGATCAGCGTCAGAACCTCCATGTAGTGCATCAGGCCCAGCTGATCCATGACCTCAGCCTGAAGCCCAAGACAAGGGAAAACAGTATTCAAAACACAGCCTTAGTTACTCTGAGATTAAATTTCCACAAAGCCACTTCACACTGTGTACAAGTCTGTAACGTGGCTGAGCCAAGAGCTGCCGATTCAGAGGAGCTGCTGTCTCACAGTCTCGCTGTCCAGGATTTGAGGGGAAGAAGTGAGGCAGCACATCAGAAGTGCCCGCTACAGTTTCTCGACCCTTTTTTCATCTCCCACCACTCAGACCTCAAACCACGAGATAAAACAAGCAAGCAGCAAAGAGTCCATGAGGAAACACACAGACAAAAAAGCGACACCTCCCCCCGCCTTGTCCTTCTGGCTGTGCAGACCTAACAAGAGGTCCCCACTGCAAACAGAGGCTGTGACACAGGGACGGCTCTGGAGGCCAGCAGCGGCTCCCAGATAGCACCCAGAAGCGCCGTGCTCAGGAGACATCCCAAGAAAACACACACCCTTGCCTCCACCAGAATATCAGAGAACGGGTGGCTACCATGGACTTCTGAAAATCATACCCACCACGTTTTAAGGGAAACAGAAAAGGCAAGATCCCAAACCCATATGCTTTGGAGCAAACAGCCCAGGTGTTTGTGCCTGCCACAGGTGAGTCTTCCAGCAGCATCTTTCAAGCAAAACAAGAAGCCTCTGCCCTGGCTCCTTAGTCCCTCCTTTCAATATATTTTACAGTGGAAAAAAAGGCAGTTTCAGAACGTTGTAGCCACTCAGAAAGATGCCTGCAACACTCAGCCCCCCTCCTCCCCCCAGGCCTTCATCTTTGACCTTGTTTTTAGATTCCAGTCACTGCTGCAGCCACCACTGGATATTAAGTACAGGCAGGACTGAAGCCAGCTCCCAGCCCAAGGTACCGAAGTGGTGGGAGCTACAGCACCGTTACTCGTGCACGGTGTGCAGCCTCACAGATTAGAAAGGGCCGTGTAACGTGACTGAAGTGCAGCAGGTGGGCATGCAGTGTATCTAAGACTAGTGTGGAAAGGCATCAGGACCGGGGTGTCAGAGAATTCTGCACAGAACTACAGACGGGCTGTAACACCACTGCCTTTGCCAGACTCTTCTGTGCTGCTGAGCATTTTCTGGTAGGCAAGATTATAGATTAAGACTAAAACCAGATTAATTACAGATTAAAGATCTTTTAAAAGTTTTATATATATTAAAGAGAGACCTTAACATCTATATGCTCTAGCATTATCACCCCTATAATTAGCTTTATGTCGTTTTCAGGCTCATTCTGTCAGTACTTCTCTGAAACCACAAAAATCAATAGTATTTAAGAAGTGCTCTAGTTTTCCTTCCTCTGGCACCCAATGCAATACTTCTAAGGAAGCTCAATATACAGGTTCTGAGAAATGGGAAGAATTCAAGGAGCCCACTTTAAAGGAGCATAAAGTGAAATAAACTTGTTTGCACTTGTCTATCCATATTCAAATCATGTATATCACATTTTCAGCTACCCTGAATGTTCTTTTTTCAAGATTGCACGATTAAATCTTTCTAAGTTTCTTTACAGTCATAGTTACAGTAAGTGTAATGCTTATTTTCAGATACTACTATCCTTCACTTAGCCTTTTGCCGTCCACACAGGTTCTGTACGCACATACGCATGACGACGTACACTGCCGTAGCTGCATTAGCCCCAGAGCCCCCGGGCTCCGCCGCGCTCCCCAGGCCATCCCACACCAAACTCACCAGGTGCCCCATGGTCCTGAAGCCGGCAGAGAGAAGCATCACTTTCCAGGGCTCCCCGATGTCCTCGGGGATGGGGGTGTAGATGTAGTAAGCAAGGAGGGCAGAGGTGAGGAAGAGCCACAGCAGCTTGGCCCCCATGTCCACGGGCACAGCTCCTCCCAGACTGACCCGTTTAAGGGCTCCCACGGACTTTTACCAGCCCCAAGCCAGCACACGCACAGGGCAAAGTTAAGGCCGTGTTTTGTTTGGGTCCTGGCCAGGAGGCGGTTTCTTACCAGATCGCCCTGGGCAGAGCTGCCGTGCAGCTCCCAAGACGACACGTTTCTGCAACCCCAGATTCAACACCGGGGCTCCTGCACCCCCACCGCCCCCTCCCCTGCATCCCGCAGCAACAGCCGGGAGGGCTCGGGAGGAGAGGCGCACGTGGAAAATAAGGAACAGAATGTGGCCTGTGAACGGAGCGCTGCCACAAGGCGCAGATGTATTCGATACTCAGGAGCTATCAGCTGCAAAGCCGGCCCGCTCCGAGGTACCCGCGGGATCAGACCGCAGCAGCGTTCGGGCAGTAAGGAGCGCCTCCCGCTTGGGCAAAGCACACCCTCGCTCCCGCACTGACACACCAAACCAGTTGTGCAGTAATAGGCCTGGCAGAAAAAAACCACTTATTAACTAGAAGCCCTGCCCTGTATACTTGAAAGATAAGATTTAATCGCCACTGTTCTCAGCATTAAGAAATTTCTGTGCATCTCCCAGAGTCAACCACTTCTACCTAGGGCGTACCTGCAGGCAGGTAATAGTTCCACCAAGGAAACACTCCGAGCACAGGCACACACACAGGAGGAGGGGTAAAGAGAGTGGCTGCAGCACCAAGAACCCTGCTTTAGAGATAAACCGAAACAGCAAGAAGCTCAATTAAAATTTGAGGATAAACTGAAATGGTAAAAAGCTCAATTAAGATTTGAGTTACTTCTTTTGCTAAAGTTCCACCAAGTGCAAAGAGGCGGCGCCACCTGTTCTCTCACACGAGCAGCCCTTGGGCTGGAGCATCCTCCGGAGGACCAGAGAGCACGAAGCATCACAGAAGACTGAAAGCTGACCTGCATGTCACCAGCCCAAATGCAGAGGAGTAGGTCCTAGACAATCTACCAAATATTTTCTTTAAGTTCTGAGTGCCTCCAAAATATTCAAGTGTTTTAAAACTCCAGCTGTACTACCCCTCCTCAGCTGGGGCAGGACACCCCGTGCTCCCTCGTCATTCCTCCTGCAGCACAAGAGCGGCTCAAAGCCCCCCGTGCTCGACACCGTCCGGCAGGAAGGAGGGAACACACCCCACTGCCCCGGACTCGGGGGAAGAAGCTGGATTTCAGGAAGGGGGGGAAGAGAAGGCGCAGCCCTGTGAAGGGGAATGGAGAGCCCTGTGCTGCCTCTGTCCCTCCCCAGGAGCGACACGAGCTCTCAGGACAGTCTGTGTGAGCACTGCCCGCTGCTTCAGCTCGGGCAAACAGCGTGGAGGAAGATGCAGCCAGGCCTGGAACTACCACAAACCTGATCTTTTATTCTGTGGCACTTAGAACGTCTCACCCTCTCCTTCCGTGTGTGCTGGGCTCCCCCTCGCCCTTCCTGAGGCAAAGGCTCACAGTGCTCAGCCCTCAGGCACCTGCACCTCCTCATCTCCTGGCAGAGCCACCCCTCCTGTCCCCCAGCGAACCGCCACAGCATCCCGCCCTAGCTCACACCGAGACTGTACACAGAGAACAAGAAATTCAACTCTCCAGCCACCCGAGGCAGTCCTAAAGCATCGACTTCAGCGTGCAAGTGCCTGGATCCCGCCGGTGTTATGAGAGCCCTTTCAGCAGGCGGGACCAGCTCAGGCAGCGCAGGACCCCTCTCAAACAGGGGCATGGGGGACAAATGGCAAACATGAACATCACGATCCAGATCGGTTCCAGAGAGCAGTTACCCTCCGTGTCACACCGCTGCCACTTCCAGAGCCCTGCACCAGCCCCACCACGGCCCGTTTGCTGCCGCACCAACTACTCCCTCACTACTCACTGCTTCCTAGAGCCAGCAAACCTCATTTTGCTGCTCCTCTTGCACGTGGCACACCGAAGTCATGCAGCGTGCCCTCCTTATCTTTTGCATTTTCACAGATTCCACATGGACTAGCTCCAACACCGACCTGCCACCTCAGCAAGTCAGCCCTGGTAAAAATAACTATTGCAACATCAGATTGGTTTTTCAAGCTGAGGTTTGGAATGAAGAAATGTGTGTGCTTATACCTGGGATCTGTTTGTAACAGCAGTACCTCGCCACCTCTTCTACTCCTACTGCATTTCTCCTTGCTGCACTTGCAGCATTACTGCCAAAAAATCATCCAGGCAACCAAGTTCTGCTCAAACAGACCCCCAGGAAACTGCTTGTCTTAGGAAAACACACCAGGAAATAGCCCTCTTCGAAGGAAAGGGTGTTTGCCAGGCTGTCCAGAGGGGAAAAAAAAAAAAAAAAATAGCCTAAAGGGGACAAAAGGACAAGCAGAAATACTCTGGTTAGTTACGCTATAAAGTGGCTTTGGTTTCTTTTTTTCTTTCAAATCCAGTATTTCAGGAAATAACCTGAAAAGCCACCGGGAGGCACTACAGCACTGCATGAGTTTTCCTTTCCACCAAGCAGCAGAACTCGAAGGGTTCAAACCGCGGTTAGAAACGGGGGTGCTGTGAGCCTCCCCTCTGGGAGGGCCGGGGTCCGCTGCCACCGGCGCCCAGAGGCTCCGGGGAAGGACACGGTGCAGCGCTGCAGCTGGCGAACGCTGCCCATGTTTGCCTTCCGTGAAAAGCTGCAACCTTGTGATAAAAAGCAAACATTTCATCTTTTTTCCTTTAATACCTCTGACAGACATCCACCAGACGACGCGTGCAGCCAGGACAGCGCGGGGCTGGAAGTACCCTGGGAGAGGCACCACCACCCCTGCCATAACCAGGTCTTCATCCAGCACAGGAGCAGGCAGAATTCAGAAATATCCTAGGCTCAAAAAGCATTAAAGTATCCAATAAAACATTCTCCAATTCAGTCTAAAAACATACCATCTTTGGAATACAGATATCAGAGGATTTCAAATAAGTCAATATTTTGTTTTGATGTTTTAAAGATTATGTTCTACATCAAACTCCCGGAGCCCCGTAAGGAGTTGCTCCTTTGCTGGCGAAAGCCCTGCTGTGGGCCCCAGCAGCGAGGGGGGAGCAGGGGAGCGCAGCCTGGGGGTACCTGTGCCCGGCCGCGGGGACACGCCGGGGCCCTTTGCCATCCTAAGAGCAGCAGGTGGGACATCGCTGCCCCGTGACTCCGGGCCGGGCCGCTGCTCCGTACGAGCCCGCTCGGTGGAAATGCTTAAACTGAAATTTAAGATTACTCAAAGGACGTGAGCCACTCCTGGCAAAAAAGCGATGGAGCTGAACACAGGTACTTCCCCAACAAAACAGCCTTGCTAAGGCTGTCACCACAGACGGAACGATCAAGGCATTTCTGCCTTCCTGTGGACTGGAAAAATAATGAGTGTATAGCCACGGTGCCCAGGGAAAAACCTTCAGCTCCTCGACTTACTGCTCTGTATCACATGAAGTCTCTGCACAAAGACAGATATTTGAAAATACAGCACAAGCGGCCCATGGTAAAAAATTCTGAATTTCTATGATTTTCAGCGTTTGGTTTATAAAATCCAAGCTGGGACTGCACACCCTCCTCCCAGCAGCCTGGGCACCCGATGACGGAGCTGTACGAGGTCGGTGGCCTTTGGTTCTAGTTCAGGAGTTCCTGATTGCAACAACTTCCACTCCGGAGAGGCAGCAGGCAGCCAGCCCCGTTTCTCTCCTTGGCAGTGCTTCGGACAAAGAGGTTATGTACGCTGGCACAGTGACTTAACAGCTGAAATGGGATATGTGCACGCTTCCTCTCCACCTCAGCTCTCCACCATTTATACCTTACACAGTTAATTTTTGACAGGTATAAAAATCAACTGGACGTATATTAATGACTATTTATTTAAATTTGTATTCCACTGACGTCTACAGCGTGGTCAGCAGAGTCCAAGAACTGATAAAGCTCCCCCTGCCATCAGAAGCCTGGCCACGCACACTACCCGCCCAGCGCGGGTCCGTGCCGCTCGCTCAGCCCCACCAGCAGACGGCAACTGGAGGCACGCCCAAAGATCTCGGAACCAAAACTAGTGCAATCCCCCTTCCCCACAGATCTGCTCTGAGGCGAGGGGCGCTGCAGTTTAGGGAGCATGGGGCAGACTGAAGGCACTGGGGAGCAGCCCCGGCTCCAGCTGTCTGCAGAGCCACAGCCGATCTGCCCGGGCGCCGCGGCAGGGGGAACGCGCAGATGCGCTCAGAGGGATCTCCGGCTCACACCTCAACATCCCCTCAGTGTCTTCGTTTGCATATGCTTTGAATTGACTGACTCCAATCAGAAATTTAAAATGTTATAGCTCTAAAAGTGACCTCAGAGCACGAGCTGCCCGGTCAAAGTACGAGGAATATTAAGGAGCGCAGATAACTAGACTTGCTTGTCTAATTTGGCTTACACATGTGCTAAAAGAATGCATATGGTCTGTTGTTCAAGTCCCAATTTGTTTCATAAACAAAGACAATAGATTAAATAGAACATGAAAAAAACATATTGAAAGCATCAGTCTTTGAGCCCTGGATCTGGACATCATTTTCCCCATTAAAAAAAGACCATTAATAATTCCAAACAGTGAAGGAAAAATAACTAGCTAACAGTTTTGCCGTCTGATTCACATGACTGTAGACACAATTTGCACCTCGCTGTAATGTCTATTTCATGGGGTTTTTCCCCCCCAAAAGATATTACTTATCCATCCTTCTTCCCCAAAGCTGTTCCTCCAGCACCCGCAGGAGAGGTGCCGCACACACCCCTTCCAGCAGCCACCTGCCAGGGGCCAGTCCCACCGCACGGGGCCAAGGCCACATTGCTGTGCAGACCTCGCTTCCAAAGTTTGTGCTTGCGTTTTTGAAGCAGCGAATATCAACTTTCTTAATTTGTTCCTCTTGTGAATAGGAGAGGGAAGGGAAAACAACCAGGAGTAATTCTCAACAGCTGCTGAAAACACTAACACAAAAGGCTCTGAAGGCATTTCCTTATGAGAGAGAAGGTTTAACCGAAGTACCACAAATATCGAGCATTTATATTTGTAAGAGAAAGGTTAAAGGAAACTCAAAGTGTTGGGCTACCAATTATTCATCACCTGAAGTCATACCTACATCAGCTGGCTGCCAGCACAGTGTGTATTCAAACTCCTTCT